GGGGGGGGGGGCGTTGGCTATTGTCAGCTCTATACAGCCGCCTTGGGGACTTACACTCGTTAATCCATTCACTTCTAAATGCATTTTGCTAATGTGTCTACTGCCATATTGTTCTATATATTGATTGGTCCGTGTATTTTTTTTTATATGGGATGGAGGAGGGTGGGGTATTTTGATGAGCTTTTTGTCCTTCTCCGGAAAAAATTTTGGTGTAGACTATTGTCATAATATTTTTGCATTTTAGTTCAACTTGACCAAACTGTCTCAATAGTTCAACTTGACCAAACTGTCTCAATAGTTCAACTTGACCAAACTGTCTCAATAGTTCAACTTGTCCAAACTGTCTCAATAGTTCAACTTGACCAAACTGTCTCAATAGTTCAACTTGACCAGACTGTCTCAATAGTTCAACTTGACCAAATTGTCTCAATAGTTCAACTTGACCAAATTGTCTCAATAGTTCAACTTGACCAAACTGTCTCAATAGTTCAACTTGACCAAACTGTCTCAATAGTTCAACTTGACCAAATTGTCTCAATAGTTCAACTTGACCAAACTGTCTCAATAGTTCAACTTGACCAAACTGTCTCCATAGTTCAACTTGACCAGACTGTCTCAATAGTTTAACTTGACCAAACTGTCTCAATATTTCAACTTGACCAAACTTTCTCAATAGTTCAACTTGACCAAACTGTCTCCATAGTTCAACTTGACCAAACTGTCTACACTTTTGTTTAATTTTCAACCTGCCTGAGAATGGAAGCCCGTGTTACTTAGCGTAGTTTTCGGTTTAATTTGACTTAATTTTGTGCTGTGAATTCATGTTATTATCTTACTTTTTTTTTTGCAGGTAAAATTGGACGCATGCTCCATCGTTGGATCACATAAGAAATCTACTGCTGAATGCAAGATTGAAGTCCCCGGCCCTTCCCAACTTGAGACTGAGGACCCCTTCCAAAGCCGCGCCGCCCGCTGCACTGAGTCCGCCGCCCAAAGCTCGGGTCAAGCCTTCAGTGCCCTGGCCGACTGCTGACGAAACTCACCGCGGGGATGCCCCCGGGGGTAGAATGAGGACAGCTCTCGTAATCATGACAGGAATAGGCTTCACGCTCGGAGTGGTCTTTGGGCTCCTCCTGCAGCTGCCCATCGACACCAGCCTGCCCGCAGACTCGGCCCACCCTCAGCAACTCCACGACGTCACGTCCTTCAGGTCCAGAAAGAGTCTGAGCGAGGGTGGTGAGAAGCTTCAAAGTACACAGCTGTCAGGGGCGTCTCTCACACAGGGCACTCCTGCTAATTATTTTATGGGGAAGAATCCACGCCCTCAAGGACATCACACATTGCAGAAGTTGCAACCCGCAAGAGAAGGGGCAGCTCCGTTGATACGTGAGAATGGTCCCTCAACAAGAAATGGCGAAAACCCTATTTCTATAGCTCGTGAATTGGGCTCATCGCTTGAGGGTCGTAAAAATATACATTCCCCTAACGAGACTGGAGACAACAGCTCAGTTAACAAGGATAAATCGGTTAACGGTAATGCACGCCACATCGGCTCTTCCCGGCATAGGACAAATATTTCCAGTGAACCCCAACAGGGGCGAGTACTTCGTGTTCGCAAGGCCGTGAACTCGTCTGCCGAGGATGTGACGTATTTATCAAGCATCGTCAACGGCGTTCTGTGGTCACCGAGACTAGAAGACTCTTGTCCGAAGTCTTTCCAGCCGACCGACGTGAAAGAGTGGCGGCGAAGGGTTGAAGACCTGGACGTGGTCAAGATGGAGGAGGGTTGCGGTCGGATGCAGAATCGCCTCATCACCTTCAGAGACGCTTCGAAGGCATGTGCCAGGTACCGGCTGAACTCTGACCAGATCCAAGGGGAGATCTTCTCCTACTACCTGGCCCAGCTGCTCAACATCTCCAATATGCCCCCGACGCTCCTGGCGCAGGTGGACGCGCTGTCCCCCAAGTGGAACACCGTTCACCTCCAGCTCTCGCTGGCCCAGTGGGCAGACACGAAGCTGGTCGTTCTGACGCAACACATAGACGGGCTGTCACCGGCCCACATCCCAGGGGAGTTCAGGGAGGACAGCCGGATGCTGGAACCGACACTTGGCATCCTCGGGGGAAAGTCGCACGAGGAACTCTGCGAACTTTTGCAGTGGTCGGACCTTATCGTGTTCGACTACCTCACCGCCAACCTCGACAGGGTCATCAACAATATGTTCAACAAACAGTGGAACGACCAGATGATGAGCAACCCGGCCCACAACCTGGAGAGACAGAGGGACGGCACCCTGGTGTTCTTGGACAACGAGTCCGGGTTGTTCCACGGGTACCGGCTCTTGGACAAGTACGCCGGCTACCACCAGACGTTGCTGCAGGCGCTCTGCGTCTTCCGGGCGGACACGGTGGCGGTCATTAAACGACTCCACGGTTCGTCGAGCGTGGGGCAAGAGCTCCACGAACTGTTTGCCTCTAACGAGGCCCTCCACAAACAGATAGCAGTCATTCCAGAGAAAAACCTGAAAATTTTGCAACAAAGACTGGGCGATGTGCACCAGCAGATAGTCAACTGTGAGAAGCATTTTAACAGATAGTACTGGCCTCTGGTCATTTTGACATAGTATCATGACCTTGACATATCCACATCCATGGCGTTTAGCGTGGTATTGATGGATACTATATTAATTGAGGATTTTACAAACTGACCACACGAAGCTCTTTCAGCTTATTTTCATGCTCCTCCCCCCCCCACCCCTAACAGACGCTCTGGAGATAGTGTGATGTATAGAGTGTTAAAAGTTGGTCATATTTTCCACTCCAATGCACCATACGGTCCTCCCTTCGACTGGAACTTTTACTAGCGGTTACTTTAAGAAACTGACCACACGAAGCTCTTTCAGCTTATTTTCATGCTCCCCCCCCCCCCCACCCCTAACAGACGCTCTGGAGATAGTGTGATGTATAGAGTGTTAAAAGTTGGTCATATTTTCCACTCCAATGCACCATACGGTCCTCCCTTCGAGTGGAACTTTTACTAGCGGTTACTTTAAGATTCTTCTATTGGTTTCATTTTCTGTTCATGTTATTATCTATTGTAATTTAATTGAACCACACAGTTATTAGAGTTTCATTTCAATTTTGTAAAATTGACCGCTAACGTAATGATTGTGACAGTTTGCCTTATTATGATAGATAGGTCTGTCTGTCTTTGGGGCACTAGGCAAGTAAGCCTGTCAACTAGAGGATTTTCGTCTGCCCCCCCCCCCCCCCAATGCACATCATGAACATTGCAACACAGTCTACATACCACCTCCCCCCCCCACCTTTTTGCTTCGCGGCAACCTTTCCCGCCACCCAGTAACATCAACACACGGGTCAAGGGACTGCGACAAGCAATCAAATATGTGGAGCAATAATAAAGACATGTTTTTTCCCTTTATTTTGATATGGGGCGCATTTCTCGTGTCTGAGATGAACAAGTCATTATCCTACACGACCGAGCCAGCCTGGAGGGAAGCCATGCGTAGTGTTTGGGATATCGCTAATCTCCGAGCAGTTTGTGTTCATAGCTACCAGATGGAGCTGGATCTCATTCACCACCCCCCCCCTCCCGCTCCTCCCTCACTCACATCGACCAACTTGGTGCTCACATCTGTTAATATTTTTTGTTACGTTCTGATCTCGTGGGCGCTCTGGATCACGCTGTGATGTCGTGAAACCACATGGAGCTGGATCTCATTCCCCCCCCCCCCCCCTCCCGCTCCTCCCTCACTCACATCGACCAACTTGGTGCTCACATCTGTTAATATTTTTTGTTACGTTCTGATCTCGTGGGCGCTCTGGATCACGCTGTGATGTCGTGAGCGCTATGGGTCACATCGAAATTTCCGAAATGCCCCCCAATTTTTTTTTTTAAAATGGTGTACCTAAAAAGAAACGAGCAAAAAGAGAAGAAAAAAAAACAACTTGATTCTCTTCCTGCTTCTAAGCGTTATACGTGTTTCCACGTTGAGATTGGCCTTCTGGCCTACACGGGACAAGGCGGCCAAGAAGAAACGTTTATTGGTGGAGTGAGCGATAAGCTGTCAGCTTCCGGAGATTGAATCGTTCGCAGCCGACATTTTGTACCCGGGTTTTCTAAATATCCCCCCAACAAAAGAATTATTTATTATTGTCGCGTATGAGCAACGAAGCTGGCTCTTATTGAAATAGACATTTGCGGAATAGAGTAATATAGTTTTCCCAGATGCTTGAAGATCTCGTAGTTTTAGCATTACGTTTGTTTTTGTTTTTTTAAATGTTATTGTTGAGTGCAGAGGAATAATTTCAAAATTGGAATTTCAATCTACAGCTTAAAACACTTATTCAGTGATAACTAAATTGATAACAATGCAGCTTGTACTGTATGGTACTTTTTTATAACAGGTAAAGGCATAGATAAGGGGGTGGTGCTGGTGGTTGGAGGTACATACTTTGCATTACCGATCATGCGCAATTGTGTTACTATAAATAGTTGATGTTCCTACATTCCATTTCGCATAAGGGATGACCTCCCTTTTCTTTGTTCCATCCATGGTTAATTCCCTCTATCATCTGTATAATATTTATATCTATCTGTCGCCATTTTGACAGTCTATTTGCGTGCCTGTTGCAGCGGTGGGTCCTTAAGTCTGTGCTGGTGTTATATGTGGTTTAGACGACAAAGAGTACAGTTGACGTGTGGCTTAATGATGCTGCTGAATAGTGTGGTTGAAGGATGTGATTGTATGGTTGACTGATCGGGTCGAATGATGTGATTGAATGATGGGATTGAATGATGTGGCTGAATGATATGTTTGAATGATGGGATTGAATGATGTGGTTGTATGTTGATGTACATTTCAAGACGACCACGCTAGGTTCCACCGTGAAATTTGTGAGTGTAAGACGTATTTCAAAATATGAACTGAAGTACCAACCATTACCATAGAAAAAAATTCACGGCAACTGTACACAGGACTGCCACTTATTATTATTTTTTTCAATTCCCAAGATTTTGTCAAAATATTTCCCAAGATTTCCCAAGATCTTGACAATATATAATATTTTTTTTTTTAAAAAGGGGGAAATTACCTAGGGAATTATTTTTTTAAAAGTGAGTTTTTGTCCTGGATGGCATAGTGATCTTGGGAAATTTCCCAAGGTATGGCAGCCCTGACTGTACATAGTAAAATCGCAAATAAATATTTTACAAATGCGGGTGAATACAATGACTTAAACAAATATGCATCGCATGTCAACATGAATGAATAACATTTTTTAAAAAAAATGATTAGTTTCAGAAGACAAATCTGTCTGAGATGATGAAAGGAGCTCTTCTTTTTTGATATGGAACGCCACTTCAGTAGGATTACACAAGACTCAAAATAAGAATGATCAGGCATGTTGAGAGAGAAAAAAAAACAACAAAGAAAAAACAACTAATATTTGTTTTAAAAGATGTATTATCGCAAACTACTTGTTTGTACAACCTGTTTTTTGAGTGTGGTGGGTCTACACCTGAACTGATCACGTGGTCACAATATGTCAAAATAAATAAGACAAAGTAATGAAAGGGAGTATTTCTTTCTTTATTTTTTTTTTTAAATCGCAAAGCTAGAAAAGTTTAGAGACAAACTCAGGGGGGAGGGGGGGGGGGCATTTTTGTAAAGCTAATAAAAAGACATGAGAGCTGTGAGGACTCGGCGTTTTCTCTTGAGCATGATGGATGCAGCAAGAGAGCAAGGCGGGGAGATAACCACGCTTTAACAAAGGGCCTTGATCTCCTGCATTCTTCGTCTGCGTAGAAGTGTTGATGAATGTAGGCGATGGCGTTGTCCGTCTGGTGAAGCGCACAATAGTCGTGTGTTGTGGAATAGAGATCGTCTCATCCTTTGAAAGACAATTGGGGTAATAAGGTCTTCCAATGAATAACGAGAGGGTGGGGGTGCCAGCTAGTGTTGTAATGCATCTATTGTCCGTGTTTTACCACGCTTAATTCAATCCAACAATGCATATTTATTGAGTTTGTTTGTAATGCCATGTGAAATGCTTCGGGGAGAGAAGTATGATGAGAGAGATGTTTCCGTGATATTTCCTATGCACAACGTGTGTGTGTTTGTTCTTGTGTGTACACATTTGAAGATTGACAAATGAAACCAATTTGTACATTATTCAGATGTATAGCTCAATGTGTACAACATGATATCAATGTGGGTCATTCCACAGTTTGTACATACCTATGTATACATATAAATTTCATTGTGAAACCATGAACCTTGATTGTGATAAACATATTTTCTTTAAAAAAAAGCAAACAAGACTTTGATGTACTGTGACGTTTCATTTTAAGTTATAGAAACGTCAATGTTGTCACAAGTGGCGTAACTAAGGAAGTGAGGGGCATCCACAGCCATTTACCACGAGCGATTGTTTTTAATTCCCCACGTTTGGCGTTTATATTATGTAATAGTGAATATATTTCACTTTGGCCCAGTGCGGCCTTTACTTACTGGTTGGGCCACTGGTCACCTAACGCCACTTAATTATTCCCTGATTATGTCATTGTAAGCTGTATTTAATCTCTGATCTCTTACGTGAAATAATGACGCCCAATATAGATTGCAGCAAGATTACCCCCACCCCTGCCCCCATAGCACACCTCCGCCACCACACTCCTCCCCATCACACCACCTCCCCATCACACCCCCCTCCAATCTGACCGGTTCCCATTCACACCCCCATCTTTTTTCACCCACTCTTTCCTAAACTATAAGGTTCAGATAATATATAATTGAAACTAAAAAAAATACAATCATAATTATTATTTTTTATAAGTACAAAATGAACCAAATGGTCTATTTAAAACAATTAATAATAATAATATTAAAAAAATGATTGAAGCTATAAAAAATAAAAGTGAAAATAACAGAGAAACCAAGGCTGGCACTTAATCTGCTAGGAATGAATTTCAAACAATGTTTTTGAGTTCCATTCTTGGTTCACACTGTCCCTGGTCCGCACTGGTCCCTGATCCTCACTGACCTGCTTTAAGCGTACCAGCACAAACCTGGGGCAGTGTACCTGTAAGCATCGGTAAGATTAAAAATGTGTCGGTTTATACCAGGCATCCCTCCCTGCCTGATGTCAAAGCTCCGACTCCATCCACTACACCTTATAGCCGGATGAGATGTCATTACGGTTATTTCACAACATATCATAAACGCCAGCTCTGTTGTTGTTGTTTTTTTTTAAATCCCTGTTTACATTTCCAATGTTAAAAGATTTTATCCATCGTTCGGCATCATCATAAAAGAAAATACATGTTATTTAGATAATATACGTCATGCTTGATTGAAGCTCTGATTGGTAACATGATTCTGTTATATGTGTTATATGAGTTTAATCACCATGGTAAAGGTTATATGAATAACAAGCAAATAAATGCGCATTATATCACTGATAAATTTGTTTGGAACATGTGTAAATATAGCATTAAAAAAAAATAATTAATGTATGCACAAATGGACCACGTAAAATATTATAAGAGTGGTCAAGTATATGTTGCAACAGCAGCGTTGACTATAACTTTGACAGCTTTAAATGGTTTAGTAAATAGTTCACTAAATGGTCGAGACGGTCATTTTCGACATAGCCAACACAGCCATATTGCTAAGCTTCTCCAATGGATAATTCAACTTAGGCGATAATGGAGGCACCTCCACGTAACAGGCCGGTGGGACATGTCCAGTTGGTCCAGTGGGACATACCAGTCGGACATGTCCAGTTGCTCCAGGTGATGTTCATTTAATAAATTTAGATGTCACGTGACGAAAATGTTGATGTAATATGATGATCTATTTACCTCCCTTGCATAAATGAAAAGTGTTGCTGTAGCTATTTAGATTGTTGCATCTATATCTGACAGATGTCAGTGTTATGGCATCTATTTTTGACAGCTGTCACCTAGGCACAGTGTGAACATATTTTTGCTATCATGTTAACAAATGAGTGAAGTTTTTGTTTTCAGACTGTGACATTTTGTCAATTAATTAAGAGTTCTGTTTGTCTTTTAAGGAACGATTTTTGTGACCGCTGGTCATTTTACTTCTCAAATGTGACTTGTTGGTGTACCAGCATAAAATGGTGTCCGGTGTGTGGTATAATGTGTGCTAGCGTATGAGTACATGGTTTGGTATGTGTGCTAGCGTATGAGTACATGGTTCGGTATGTGTGCTAGAGTATGAGTACATGGTTTGGTATGTGTGCTAGCGTATGAGTACATGGTTCGGTATGTGTGCTAGCGTATGAGTACATGGTTGGGTATGTGTGCTAGCGTATGAGTACATGTTTTGGTATGTGTGCTAGCGTATGAGTACATGGTTTGGTATGTGTGCTAGCGTATGAGTACATGGTTCGGTATGTGTGCTAGAGTATGAGTAGATAGTGATGTGTTGGGTAAATCTGCTAGAGTATGAGTACATAGTGATGCTTCTTTGGCTAACTAATAATACAAGTAATAAAAGTGTTGGACTGCGATACAGCTTTTAAGAAGATTAATGAGACACCAAGGAAGTAAAAAAAAAATATTTGGTACGTTGACTCCATACGATATACGGTATAACACGTTCACAATTTTACAGATTATCTGGAAT